CTATTAGGTTGGAGGCCATCGTTATTAGGTTGGAGGCCATCGCTATTAGGTTGGAGGCCATCGTTATTAGGTTGGAGGCCATCACTATTAGGTTGGAGGCCATCGTTATTAGGTTGGAGTAGGTTCCTTAAAGCCTTTTTCTTCGCTTTTCATTCAGCTGCTCCCGTGCCTTCACCACATAATTTCCGCCCATTAAAACCACCTCTTTGCCGTCGATCTTAAAAACCTCTCCATAGATGCCTGCACGGTCCGCCCGCAAGGGTGTTTCTTCGGTCATAGCTAAGGCAAACGCCGCGGCCGTGCAAGGATCTGAAACGGCTGAGATGGAACACAAACCAAGCATCCAACGTGATCAATTCCAAGGTATATAGGAGGAGAAGGAGGCCATCGCCCTTACCATTTCAGGTCTTCATGACATCACATGTCGGCTCACAGTGTCACATGAACCAAGCTGCTGGAGATGTGTTGGGCGCGTCAGGAAGCTTTAGTTTGGGCGGATCTCCTTGAACACACGGATCGTCAGAGGAAAGTGTTGGTCATTCGCCGAGTGTTTGCGCTATTTGTTCTTTGAAAACTCAAAGGCAAAATCTATTGTGGCCTTCATCTGCTGCGTCTGCTTCCACCGTTTCCTCGTTCTGCTCCGGCTGCGAGTCCTGCCGAATCAGAAACACCACGTAACAAGCCCTGACACAGCGCAAAGGGAGAGACAATCGACCTTTAGACATTTCCTGTTCCTCTCCCTTTCTCTTGTTCTCTTTTTTTTAATTTAGTAGCAAGTGCCACGCTAGTAGTAACAAGTGCCTTACTAGTAGTAACGAAAAGCTATCTAAAAAAATAATCAATAATTCTAATAGCTTCTTGTTACTACTAGTAAGGCACTTGTTACTAGTAGCGCAAGGGAGTGAGAGACAATCGACCTCTAGACATGTCCTTTTACTATTAGGAACAAGTGCCTCGCTAGTAGTAACAAGAAGCTAGTAGTAGTTTAGTTTGAATTTGTATTTAATTTTAATGGCTTCTTGTGACTAGTAGTAAGGCACCTGTTACTAGTAGCGATGCACTTGTTACTAGTAGCTTTCTCTTTTTTCTCTTAGGGACCGTTTGCACCTTGTGCGTTTGCAGGCTGGCAACTCTACCAAAGGCCTCAGCCTCAATGCTCTTCTCGTTGTGCTCACACAACTTCTCCTCGGTTTCGAAGCGACGTTGAAACAACGATCTTTCGAAGATCGGTGACTTTCATTACAAACAACGACGTTCATCCCCTTCAAGAATGCGACGAAGAATGCAAAAACGAAGAATGCGAAGAGCAAACGAACGAGCACTCGAGACTCGTCCCAATCGAGCAGCGGTGACTTCCCAGCCACCAAGCCACTGACCAACCTGAAGTGGCGCTATGGCAAGAGACGCCCTTGTTACGTTCGTAGCTTCTTGCCACTAGTAGTCATGGCCTCCAACATCCTCCAATCTACTATAGCGATGGCCTCCAACCTAGTAGCTTCTAGCTACTAGTAGCGATGCTGAAAGCAACCCATGTTGCTTTCGGTCTCTTTTTGCGTTTCAAACCGACATCTTTCCGAAAGCGTGTTCTGTAAGAATGCAAGCGGTTCCCCTCGTGTCCATCTTCCGTCAGACTGTGTCGATGTCGTCCAAGTCACATGGCGCTTAAGCGCCCGAAACTTGGAGACCCCTTCCTGAGCACAAAAAGAACCGGTGAAAAGGCCCGAATCTGCGTCACTGACGAAGATATCTCTCTGTTTGTCGGTATGATCTACGGCGCCCGGCGCCTAGTTCGTAGAGTGACTGCAGGACAACAAATTTATATTTCTGCTCCAAGCTGCTTCTGGAGGGTTTCCTGACAAGAAACACAAAGGTTTCCGTGTCCAAGAGATTTGTTGTGAACCTCTCTGAGGTCAACAATCAAAATGGGTGGACATTGCCCAGCGCAACAAATCGAGACACGTTGTGGTAATTCTGCCGAGAAATCCCAAGCCCTGGTACTCCAACTTAAGGACCCCATGAAAAAAACACGTTTGCCTCAGACTAAATCACACAATATTCAAAAGAATACATTGCTCTGGGTTTTTCTCTCTGGCTCCACACCGCTACTCCGCTGCACTCGGACGGTGCGAAAGCCTCCACGAACCGGGCGTGTCATGGAGCCATGGCGTGTCACTGCACTTCGTTGGCACGCTCCGCTCTTCGCTCCGTTGGCACATCGTTGGGTGATTGAACCGTGTCGCGATTGGGGCCGTTGAACCTGGAATTTTCATCTGTTTGGATTTCATGTGGTCAGGGTGTACACCTGTTAAATCCCTAGCTTGCAATATTCACTTGCCTGCCAAAGATTCCAGCAAAATTAAGTAAAGAGCAATCTTTTGTGAATTCTCACTGGCCACCCGCCACTTTAACTGCCACTTGACATCATGAGGGCTCCATCAGGGTTGGAACAAGATGTCATTTGCCTGCAACAAAGTAGTGTCTTGACTGCCTTGTGTCAAACCATGTGATCTTCCGATTTAAGCTTTGGTAGAGCTGCGGGGAGGAATTTTGTTTGTCCCACTGCGTGGAAAATCTGTTTCATTGGTGTCTACTGACTTCTCACCTTGCCAAAGGTTCCATGAACAAAACATCAAGGAAACAAAAAACAAAACTAGTTTGCATGCAGTGCCTTGCAACCACTTCCAGCTAGAGCACTGTTTGGAGTCTCAAACAAGTTTAAAAGTTTAAACCGTTCTAAGGTTTGAGAGATCAAGAAATGCGCATTAGATTAAGTGTTTTTACAAATAAAAAGCCAGTCTTCACTCAAGTTCAAGACCTAAGCCCTCACAAAAATAGTTTAGGCTCAAGAAGGCCGCTTACAACCCATTCCACTTGAATGCCACACCTGGTCCCGGAGCTTCACTGCCAAGCAGACGTTGATGCGTAGGAGATCTGCGGTGAAGAATGCAACAGTGGCACCGTGCCATGTGACCAAACACTTGTTAATGCTCTTTCGAACGCGCATCCCACAAATCAAACAAAGGGATCCCAAATAAACACGGCCGGCAAACTCTTTTGTCACCTTTGAGCTATCCATGAAGGAAAGCCCGCCTTTACATGTAAGAAATGAGAGGCAAGCAAGTTGGTCAAGAAGTTGCAAAGCCGCTCTTGTGGCTAGAATCAGGAATCAACACAAGGCCCTTTGGCGCCAAAGTGTGCAAAGCACCGAAAGCCCTTGTAGCAGCCAGTGCACCACCAGCCCTGTGGTATGGATTATATGGTCGGTATGGGGTGTGAAACAAGCGAGAGGCGGGGAGCGTTGAAGGTATGAGGCAGTTGCTGGCAGAAAGGGAGTGAAGCAGGAAACGAGTAACAAGTGCCACGCTAGTAGTAACAAGTGCCTTACTAGTAACAATGTTTGCTAGTAGAAACAAATAGCTTCTTGTTACTACTAGTAAGGCACCTGTTACTAGAAGCGATGCACTTGTTCCTAGTAGCTTCTTGTTCCAAAGGTAGAGTGGAAATTCGCAGATTTCTGAACGCGTCAAAGACGGAGTCAGCGGAGACAGGTAGTGAGTCAGGAGACGGAGTGCCCAATCTGTTGAGCCCCCACGCTTTGACCAATCTGTTGGGCGCGAGGGCGCTTTTACCGTTCTCGCAGACCTCCATTTTCCCTGTGAGTCTGTCTAAATTGGGCACAGGACCTTTTTCAGCAAAAGCTTGTGGATTCTGAGAATCATACTTTGCGATCAACCTTCTCAAGGCTTCCCAAAGTGCTAGCCACGAGAAGTGTGTCTCCCGGGCTTCATCTCAATGGTTTCGGAGTCCAGAACCTGACATCCCAGCACTGTTCTTGATTCCCGCGTTGGCTTGAAACATCCTGACTCCCATGTTCCTGTCTAAAGACTGGTAGACAAATGAAGAGGATTGAAGGGCAGAGGTCGGCAGCGTGAGGCGGACACAGCAGTCCAGACCAGGCGCACACACTTAATTTAAGCATTGAGAAAAGCATTGAGAACCCAACTTTTTGATTAAAAGCATTGAGGTAGTGTCCAACTTTGTGATTAAAAGCATTGAGAACCCCAACAGTAAACTGCTTGGGGAAAAAACATAAACGAAAAAATTGATTGTTCATTCTATTCAGAAGGCAAACGCTATGCCTGCACAAAACCTCCGACAAAATGTGTCAAGCAACTTGGTAGCTCGACTTCGGCGCGTTAAACCTCACTTTTGCGAGCTTTGCAAAGTCTCAAGAGCTCACTGGTCTTGATCCCGCCGCCATCCTTGAAGGAGATCTTCGTAGAGCTCAGGTGGGAGCGCAATCCAGTCCTCCTCGTCCCTCTGTGAATAGGGCAAAGCCAAATGACGTCCAGCCCTGTTTGACAGCCAGTATCCGCGCTCAAACTCGACGAACTAGCTTGGCTGTTGGCTTGGACATCCAGCCAGCACTACCAGTACCAGTCTGGACACCTACGTCGCACAACGGCGGTTTCGACACTGGCCTCTTGTCTCCTTTGTCGCTCCTAGGTCCCGTAATCAACGAGGAGAGGAGGAGAGGAGAGGAGGCGGGATCCGAGTCTAAAATCTATACTGCGCTTCCTATAGGCTTGACTGACATGTACGGAGGCTTCAAAAAGTATCGTTTTCCCAGAGTCTTGAGATGCAAAATAAAGCAAAAACGGTGGATTCTACGGTCTTGACGTTTCCCGAAGCTTCCCGAGCTCGGTCTCGATGCGCCAGCCACCCTTGAAGAAGCTCATAAAGCTCCGGCGGAAGCATGATCCAATCGTCCTCTTCTCTTTCTGAGTGGGGCAAAGCCCACATCCAACCCCGCTTGAGCGGCAGTGTCCACACACGAACTCGACGAACTAGTTTGGCTATCGGTTTGGACATCCAGCCCTGCACGGCGCGGGGACAGGAAAAGGAGACCAAGACGACAGCAGGAGGACAACAGAAAAGCAATCTGTTGCATCTGCCACGTTTTTTCAACACGCTCGCAACTTTCCAGAAGTGATTCTCATTGGTGGTTGTCTTCTGAAATGACAATGTCCCCCGTATCTCTTTGCACCCGTTCTTCTTTTCGTTTTTTGTCCTATTCGAACACATCTGTTCGGCGCTTTTCAGCGGCCAAAGACTGTGGCTAATGTCTTTTTAAGAAGGAGACGTTCGCAAGCGTGGCCGAGGAGAGACACCAGGACGACACAGGGCTCGCCAGCGCAGCCAACACAGGTTTCGCAAGCGCCAGAGGACAGCAGGAAGACAAGAGGATAACACCCGGACACAGGGTTCAGGGTGTGAAGCGAGAACTCCAACAGTAGACGGCTTGGGGAAACATACTTAAAATGTGAACCCCGACAAGTTTCCTTGGCGCAGAAAAGGGCAAAGCTTTGCGCACGCAGCGGAGTGGAAGCCTCCGCAGGAAGAAACCTGAAAGAAATGCAATTCAAAAAGACGCCAATCCAAAACAAACCCTTTAAATTCCCAAAGGCACGCAGCCCTAAACCAAGCACTAAAGAAGCCTAAAGAAGTGAAACCCCAGAACCAAGCCAAAAGCTTCCTCTGAACCAAGCCCCCCCCAAAAAATAACAAATTTTAGAGAAACCCTACAGGAGGGATGCCCAAAACCAAGCCCACGCAAACCTACAGAAGGGATGCCCCAGCACAAAGAAGCTCTAAAGAAGCGAATGCCCAAACCCAACCAAGGAGACCCCAAACAGGTGCCAAGCAGGCTCCATGAAAGCCAAGCGTGTCGAGATGAACCGTTCAAGGTCCCCGCTCAGAACCAGTCCCGTGACCAGGTAGTTCTGGCCCCTGTGGTTAAGGAACGCGAACTAGCGTGGCACTTGTTACTAGTAGCTTCTTGTTACCACTAGTAAGGCACCTGTTACTACTAGCGTGGCACTTGTTACTAGTAGCTTCTTGTTACTACTAGTAAGGCACGGGTGACGGGCGGTCATCTTCAGACAGCACGGGCGGAGGATCTTTGCCTCGCACAAGTCGCTGAGGGGCTTGGCAGCACGCGGCGCGCCATAGAAATCAGCCTTGCAAACGACGCCAAATGCACCGCCGAGTTCCTTCAAAGCCAAAGCACACTGCTCTGGCACGTTGCAAGTGCGCTGAATGAGCCACGCTGGCACAAAACGCAATGGCTTGCCAACTCTGTTGCAACCTTTCAGTTGGGCTTCGATCACTGTTGCGCTCAATGGGCTGACAATGGGCTGGCATGCTGCTGGCACAGGCGAATCGATGAATTTCGAACTTCCGCCAGCACAACCAATCAGAGAGAGGCAGCCAAACAAGCAGGAACACATACAGAGTCGCCGACCCAAGACTACCAGGCGCCAGGCAACTAAACGGGTCCATTGCACTCAGGGTTACACAAGGCCTTCTCTCCAAACAAAGCGACTACACGGGTGTGTCTCAAAAAAGAAGAAAACAACGTATATGCTCCCAATTGGCAAGTTGTCACAGTAAACAATGAGCTTTAGATGCTTCTCCACAAAAGACCACCGAAAATATGGAAAACGATTCGTATCAAGTGCTTCTTCCTATGTACGATTTTGCCCAAATGAGAACATCACGATCTGAGCCGTTGTCAAAACACAAAAAGGAGTATCGCTTTGGGGGAAGCCCTAAGCCAAGCCTCAAAACATAAGCCGAAGCCGCAAGATATGAAGCCAGAAGTGAAGCCCCCTAAACAAATCCCAAAGAATCCCTGAAAGAAGCGACACCGCAGCCCTAAACTAAGCCCTTCTTCTCCTTCTTGTTCTTGTTTGCGTCGTTGATACCCCTAACGCAGCTTTTCTCACCAAAGTTGGGGATTTCCTTTCGTCTACGGCAAAGAGTCACCTCATACTCCTCTGTAAATCTATACAGTTTGTTCCTAGTTTTGCTTTATTATCGACAGGTGTCCCGATTTTTGAGTCTGACGAAAAGATTTCCTGACTCTGTCTTCTCCCGGGCCTCATTGCATCCAGCTTTGCGGCTTTGCTCGCACTCCATCGCAGTCCCAGTCACCTTGCGGCGGTTGAAGTCCAGACATATGAGCTGAGCTTCAGAGCAATCGTTTCCCTTGTTGTTCAACGGGTGGTACATTCGGACCTGTGTCTGAGACTCGACGTCTGGGATTAAGGGCAAGCTTAAGAACGAAGAATGTGTTCCTGTCGTACAGGTGTCATGTTGACTTCTATGCTCCATTCGTAGCTTCTTGTCCCTAGTAGTAAGGCCAGGAGCCCCGTTCGTAGCGTCCTTGCTCCTAGTAGCGATGCCAGGAGCCTCTAGTAGCTTCTTGTTACTAGTAGTAAGGCCAGGAGCCCCTGATTTGAATCTAAATCATCACCACAAACAACACAATCAGACAACACAATCATACGCAGCATGATGTTGCTGCTGCTTGGCTTTTGTTGATTATGCTGTCAGGCATTGCTGATGCAGGAACTTGGAGGGAAGTTCGTGAACATATTAGCGAACATGTGTAATCTTATTGTGCGGTTATTAAACTGCTGTGGAGTTGCCAACAAAACATAAGCAGTGCCAGAAACCCTTCATCAGAGATTGGTCCACTGGTGACTTTCGTTGTTTCGATTGAATAAGTGGTCGACATGGCTCAAAATGGCAAAGGCAGAACCTTGCCTAGCCTTTAGAACAAGAAGCTACTAGGGGCTCCTGGCATCGCTACTAGGAGCAAAGACGCTACTACGGGCTCCTGGCCTTACTACTAGGAGCAAGAAGCTACTATGAGCAAAGGCAGACGTTCAGATGTTGCAAACGCCTTTCAGGTTGAACCTGATGGTAAAGGCACTGCAAATTGCAGCTTTAGTAGCGAACCTGCGGCTTCATCTTGGCTGCCAAGGATAGCAAGCCGTTGGCGGCATTGAAAACCTGGCCACGAGAGAAATCAAATGAAGTCAATATCTTCACAGATCTCAAGATCTCAATGTCTTGGCGGAACTATGGGCTGCTCCCTCTTGCCATCTTCACTTCGTGGTCACACCAGTCACCACGAGCACCGAAGCTCGACGAAAGGCGCCCCCTTTTCTTCTGGACGACCCGCCGAACCGCCGCGGAGCGGTCATTTGGTGCGGCGGCGCTCGGCTTTCACACGACCTGTGGGCACGGACACAGTGCTTGGACCACCGAAGTGGCCCAAACTGTTAGAAGCTACGACTTCTTGAAGGGGATTAGATGAGGCAGGTAAGCCTGTTCAGTAAGTTCTGTGTCCATGTCTACAGGCGTTTCTCTCATTTTTTTTGGTGTGTTTCTTTAGACTACTTCGCTATACCTCGGCACAAACCTCGCATTGCTCAGTGAGACCATTCCGCTCTCGACTCGCTCGATGGAGGTTTAAGACTCGCACCGTCCTCGACGGTCCAAACTTCATCGCAGACCTGCGACGAGCGACTGGGTCGGTGGGACGGAGCTGCGAAAAGAGGGAGCGATCGGACGCTACTAGGAGCAAAGGGCATCGCTTCTAGGAGCAAAGGGCCTTACTACTAGGAACAAGAAGCTAGTAGAAATAACAAATAGACTTTGCTTTAAATAGAAGCTTCTTGTTCCTAGTAGTACGGCCAGGAGCCCCGTTCGTAGCGTCCGATCGCTCCTAGTAGCGATGCCCTTTGTTCCTAGTAGCTTCTTGCTCCCAAAAGGATCCAAATAGGCACAAATCAAATCCAAATGGAAGCATAATATATGGAAGCATATATGGAAGCATGCAGACACTGTGAAGCGACTTTCCTGCCTCTTCAATCAACTTCTCGTTGTGAGAAACCACTGCAAAGCCACCGCGGAAGGTACGCATAGCACGTTTCAACAACTCCACGGTGTCCGTGTCTGGCGCAAAGAAAAGCTGAATTCTTCCGACCCACGCGCACGTGTACAAAAATGGTGCGAAACCGCAAAGCCTAAATAGTTCGTTGGCTCGTCCAAGCACACCACATGGGGCCTGATGGAAATCAGGCATCGCATTCTTCTTCCCCGAAAAAAAAAAAAAGAATGCAATAACTTGGCAGTAAGTACCACTGTACCACTGTACCACGGTGCAGGACAGCAAAAGAAAAGCAGATGGAAAGAGCTTTAGTTGGGAGGGCCCCACACACGTCGCTCTCACACGTCGCCACGTCGCCACCATCGAGTCGGACCTGGTCCAAAAGGCGGCGCCCAAGGCCAGTTTGCATTTCTGTCCAGAGGAGAGCACCGAGATTCTCCGATGGCAAACCACATCCTGCGCGACGCGGCAATTTGGACTCTTTTTGGGACGTTGTGCTTCAAAACCACTTAGTGCTATACCTTCCAAATCCCTTCCAAGCTGGGTGACTCCAGACTGGATATGTGAGATGATGACTCCTTCGTTTCCGCTACTTCCTCAACGGACACGCACAAACAGCAGATGGGGAGTTCACGAGTTCACCATCTGCCAATTGCGCCTGAAGGTGCGCCGTCCACGAATGTCTAGATAGTTTCGAAACCGAATTGGACTGAACTCCCCCTCAGTAGAGTCCTTGCAAGTTTGCAGTGGCAGCTTGCACATAAGAGAGTTAAAAAATGTTAAAAACATTGCTAGGTTTGGAGGCCATCGCCATTAGGTTGGAGGCCATCGCCATTAGGTTGGAGGCCATTGCTAGTAGGTTGAAGGCCATTGCTATTAGGCTATTATAGAAATTCTTACGTTGAAAACATGACCTTTGTTCAACCTTTTTTTAGCCGCTCTTCGCTCTCCGCTCAAAGCGACCTCGTCGAGGCCAAAAGGCTCCAGGTGCTGAAGCACTTCACGGTCCCTGAAGAGTTGGTCAAAAAGCGAACATCTGACCATTTTGCTCGGAACAAGTGCATCGCTACTAGGAGCAAAGGGCATCGCTACTAGGAGCAAAGGATGCTACGAACGGGAATCCTGGCCTTACTACTAGGAACAAGAAGCTACTAGGAACAAGAAGCTACTAGGAACAAGTGCATCGCTTCTAGTAACAAGTGCCTTACTAGTAGGAGCAAGAAGCTACTAGGAACAAGAAGCTACTAGGAACAAGTGCATCGCTTCTAGTAACAAGTGCCTTACTAGTAGGAGCAAGAAGCTACTAGGAACAAGTGCATCGCTGCTAGTAACAAGTGCCTTACTAGTAGGAGCAAGAAGCTACTAGGAACAAGTGCATCGCTTCTAGTAACAAGTGCCTTACTAGTAGGAGCAAGAAGCTACTAGGAACAAGAAGCTATTCGTGCTTCTTGTTTCTACTAGCTTCTTGTTACTAGTAGTAAGGCACTTGTGACTACTAGCTGCAGGGCACTGGGATCGTGTCGGTTCATTCGCTCCCGAGCGACACAGCGAAGCGACAGAGCGACAACCGAGCGACTCTTCAGACGAGTTTCGTCAATGGCCGTTGAGGACAACCAGCCCAAGCAGCCCAAATCCGGGAATCCAGGTCTTCCACCAGCTTCAAGGCCTACGTTTCGTTCGATTCCGAAAAGGATGTGAAACACAGAGATCTTGCCAAAGCTTCATCTGTTCGAATCACTTTCGAGAAAGCACCTGCCTTGAGCTGTTTAAGCCTGGCGGCTGGAGCTTGTCATACATTCCAGTGCTGGTGGGGCCTCCTAGTCCCCCACCTTCCCTTTTGGCGCATAGCACAACACATCCGATTTGTTCCAGCCGGAAGCGTTTGTGCCTGCTAATTGGCTCGAAGGTGTTCTCGGCAGGGCTGAGATCTTTCCACTTGACCTCGTACATGAATTCTCGGTCCTTTTCTTTGATTTTCTCCTTGCCATCCTCAACGCAGGTCCATATGAAAATATGCTAATCATGCTGACCCACAAATTATGTAACGCCTAAACTCGTCCTGACACACATTGTGGAGCTGGTACAGAAGCCACAGAGCTACTCAGCACAGAGTTTCACCCAAAAATCACAGTGCAAAAAAGGCTCTGTAAGCTCGATACCTCGGCTCTGAATCAATGCGTTGTCACTACACACGACAAGCCTCTTTTGGAGAACCCACAATATACATTAGGAACGAGGAGCTACTAGGGGCTCCTGGCATCGCTACTAGGAGCAAGGATGCTACTACGAGCTCCTGGACTTACTACTAGGAGCAAGCACGATACTAGCTACTACCCACGATATACATGTGTTCAACACCAAGGCACGATTGATCAAAGCCTCCACAGCTTTGCCTCGCTTGCCGTGGCGCAAACCGACGCTACGCATTTCATCCTCCTCCTGGCGAGCGTTTGGATCAAGCTTTTTTGCAGGAATTGGCAATGGAAACCGTTGTTTGACTTGAATGATTGAACAATTGCTGAATACTCCTTGAAATGTCCGAATTCGATTCATCCAAGTCCCTCTTCATGAGTAATCGAATTGGGTCGAACAGATTCCGTTTGTTTCCTTCTGCTTCGGTCCTTTTTGGAGAGAAGCTTCTCACCACGCACGATGGGCGTCTCCTCGTCAAACCCGCGTCGAAATCGGATTTGCATGTATTCCAAGGGTGTCTTCTCCACGTAGTTCCTTGGCATCGCTACTAGGAGCAAGGACGCCAGCAGGGGCTCCTGGCCGTACTACTAGGAGCAAGAATGCTACTAGTAAAAAGAAGCTACTAGGGGCTCCTGGCATCGCTACTAGGAGCAAGGATGCATTTCCATCAGGTGCTGTGAGCTGGCCATAAAAACTCCTCTCAAATCATGACAAGAGTCCCCAAATGCACCAAGGAATGCTGGGCCTCAGTGTATTTATCAAGCAGTTGCTCTTCAGCATCTTCATACTGCCTATCTTCCAAGTTTCTGCTGAGGGACGATGTAAGCCAGACGCAAATCCTTGTGCCACCAAAGCCTCGGATCGTGCATTCACTGTGACTCTTCCGCTTGTCCAAAGCTGTTCACACAGTTTCACCCTGCTGATTTCCACCACCTTCAACACGTTTGTGCATGAAAAGTTCTTGTTTGTGCATGTGACCCTTATTCATCTGCAAAACTGCTGACCCTGCCACGCCCCTTGCCTGCCAGTCCTTCCGCCAACAGTGGTGGGCTGCTTTCGGCCGGCGAGCATGGACAATAATGTGGATTTTCCGGATCCGTTTTTCCCGACGATGCCGACCTAAGCTGGGATACTAGAACCGCTTTACATGCCAGCATGTTGGATCTCGGAAGCATAATAAAACATTGTTTTAGCTGGAGGGTTGCTGACTAGGCCAAATTGACAAGTTGGGCCATTGAAAGGCAAGGACCTGGCCAGTGGTCAGTGGCTAGTGGGAGACAAAAACCAGTGTGTGCAGTGTGCAGGTCCCACCCGTTTAAAGTCTAAATGGACTTCTCCCTTCCTCCACAAACCACATCACGTCACTTGCATTCCAAGAGCAAAATAGAAGAAAAAAATAGAACAAAATGGATTCTAATAACAATGGCCTCCAACCTACTAGCGTTGACCTCAAATCTAATGGCGATGGCCTCCAACCTAACAGCGATGGCCTCCAACCCAATAGCGATGGCCTCCAACCTAGAAGCTATGGCCTCCAACCTACTAGCGATGACCTCAAATCTAATGGCGATGGCCTCCAACCTCCTCCAACCCAATAGCGATGGCCTCCAACCTAGAAGCGATGGCCTCC